CTTTGTAAATAGGGAAGGGTGGAGGGGGTGAAGGGAGGGCTAGGAATAGGGAAAAAAATAAGAACCAAGATGCATTATGTAAAGGTACAGTTCCCAATGAGATTTGTAATTGTGTTGTATACCTACAATGTACCAATAAAAGAATTTAAAGTGCAAAAAAAACCCCACCAGAATATCATTATACTAATTTACCCTCATAGAAGCATTAGTACAAGAATACAATTTACAATTATCACATTGAATAGCTCTTAATGCATCATTAACCTGGATTGTACCTACAGCTAATACATAAGGTAATTTAACACATGCAGTAATATAATAAGCATTATAATGAAAATAATAATCTGACTGAATATTTGTTTCCCGAAAAGTCTCCATTCCAAGATCCCATAGCTTGTGTTGCAGCAGCAAGTTTCCAAAGTTCCCATTGTTCAGGTCCATATGTGCCATCAGATAATTGAAGGTGAGGATGAGGAGCTGACAGTCCAACATCATGCCAGGCCAAAAGTCCTTTAGGATGATGATGCTCCATAGTGACATTAGTATTCCATACATTAATAAGATAATCACACACAGTAGAATTAATATCATCTGTATAGTTATTTAAAAATTTGCCATATGGTCCCCAATCAATAAAAGTATGATTTTCAACTCTCATATATTTACCTTCTTTACTTTGACATCTGGCCCAGGCTATAGGTACAAATTCAAACTTTTTATAAGAAATATCTTCACAGACAGGATAGTCACCTTTGCCCTCAAAGGTGGTAGTATCATTGATATAAGTATAAAACAAAAAAGCAGTAATCCCAACACTGTGTGGGAATCTCTACGAGGGGGCAGAATAAAGGCCCAAGTTTGGCGTTCCACTGGTAAACATATGGTGTCCCCTCCTATGCATAAAGGGAGTTCCTTATACCCCCAAGAAAATATTATATTATTTACCTTCTTCTAAAGGGAATGTAGGTTTTCCATTTCCCCAGGGAGCAAGCACATGGATGGAATCATTAGTAAAAACATTAGGACCTGGCTCGGACAAATCCACCAGTTGTAACAGTGGAAGACTACTTACTGGTGAAGTGGTGAGGCAAGAACAGCTAGCATAGACACAAAATAATTTTCTGGTGTTGCAGGATTCTTAGTTTTGATTAAGACCTGCTGAGCTCTTTGTGTTAGGTTTTTAATTTGACCTCAAGTAGGGGGATCACAATTGAATTTTGGTCATTGTTTATGACAATTTCCAGAAATTTGAAGAGCTGCCATTTCCTCTACTGGAGGGGTTAGAGGGCTGGGATCCCTCAGAGCCATCCTCAGAGCTTCGGAAGATGTTGCTGGGAACTGGATCAGGGCCAGGGTCCCGAGCCCTGACTTTCTGAAGAGGTGTCCATAATTGTTCTCAGGATCCATCTGGAACAACACAAGCATAGCCTTTCCCTTTTATTATTAACCATACTTTAACCCATTGTTTTGGATCATCTTGTTGTATCCATACTGCTTGCGGATCAGGAAGCAAATTATCCTCTGCAAAATGTCGTTCTGCCATATAAGAATATCCCCTTGAGGCAAATTTTAAAAATTTAAAACAACACAGAATGAAGAATTGCATGTGGCAGTCATCAGTCTTTTCATCATATTTATATATCTAAGATTTCTAGGCAGTCCCTGCCCATATTCCCCCTTTATTTTTAATAATTGTACTTTTAATGTGCGGTGTGCTCTTTCAATAATTGCTTATCCTTGTGGATTATATGGAATACTAGTTATATGTAAAATTTGATGTTGCATAAATAACTTAAAGCTAGTAGAGGAACAAGCAGGACCACTATTGTCAGTTTTAATTTTACTAGGTATACCCATGATAGCAAAGCATTCTAATAAGTGTTTTATAACCTTATGTGTTGCTTCTCCTATTTGTGCTGTAGCCCATAAAAACCCAGAATTAGTATCGATAGAAACATGTAAATAACTAAGCCATCCAAAAAAAGGAAAATGAGTAACATCCATTTGCCATAATTCATTAGGCTGAAGTCCTCGAGGATTGCTGCCTACCTTAACAGGATGGAGGTGTAGAGGATGACAAACTGGACACTTTAAAATAATTTGTTTTCCTTGTCAATAGGGAATTTTCCAATATTGATATAATGAACCTGCATTATTGTGTAACATCTCATGTTGTTCTTCAGGTGAACCAAAAGCTACCAAAGTGTCAGCCTGTTGGTTCCCTTCACTCATTGGCCCTAGTAAATGTGTATGTGCGCGTATGTGAGTTATATAAGTTGGATTTATTTTCTTTATAATTATTTCTTGTAATTCTACAAATAAAGGCTTAAGTGTTGGACAGTCAGTAGAAATTATCGATGTTTCTATATTATTTAAAACATGAACAACATATTGGGAATCGGAAATAATATTTAAGGGTGAAGAATATTCCTTTAGAACTGCAAATAGTTCATTCTGCTAGGCTGAATCATAGTGGGTAATTAACATTTTAAAAATTATTTTGTGATCAGAAAACAGCCCTGTTATATTTGGTTCCATCTACATAATAAGTTTTAGCAGAAATAACAGGTTTCGTTATTAAGATTTTAGATAATATCCAGTCTGTTCTTTTAAAGAAGTCCCATAATTTCCCAGCTGGATAATGATGACCAATAAATCCAAAGTAGTCTGCAAGAGTGATCTGAAACGTCATTGAATTTTGCAAAGTTTGTAAAAATTGAAGAGAAGTGAAAGGAAAAATTATACAAGAAGGTTCCTGTCCTGTTGTCTACCCTGACTTATAAGAAAACTGATAATATCAATGTAAGGAGTTAGAGTTTTAGGATATTTATGTTTTGAATAAACCCATTCAACATGTTTATCTTCTTGAGCTAAAACAGCAATGGGAAAAGTAACAGAGGGTAAAATAAGTAGACAAAGAGGTTTTGTAAGGTCTATTGTTAACAAACTGCTCTTGAATCTTTCGATTAACAATAGTTCTCATCTTGCTGCTTCAGTGAGCCTGCGAGGCCTATTAATATTAGAATCTCCTTCAAGAATCTCAAATAAATTATGTAGTTCATGTGTAGCAATCCCCAAAAAAGGTCAAATCCAATTTATATCACCTAATAATTTTTGAAAATCATTTAAGGTTTCTAAATTATCTATTCTTATTTAACTGAGGGTGTGTATGTGTCCTTTCTAGAACATAACCTAAATATTTAAAAGGCTCACTTTGTTGAATTTTCTCGGGGGCGATTACTAATCCAAAATCTTGTAAGTTTTGTTGGGCAAAATGAAGAATTTCTTGAACTCTACAAAAATCTGGATCAGCAAATAAAATATCATCCATATAGTGTATGATCAAAGAATGTGGGAACATTTCCCTAACTGGCTCTAAGGCTTTAGATACAAAATATTGACACATAGTCAGGGAATTCATCATTCCTTGGGGTAAAACAGTCCAATGATATCTTTTAGCTGGTTCAATATTATTAATACTTAATAAAGAAAAAGCAAATCATTGTCTATCATCTTCTTGAAGAGGAACAGTATAAAAGCAATCTTGTAAATCTATAATTATTATATGCCAATCTTTAGGAATAGCTACAGGTGAAGGGAGTCCCGATTGAAGGGTCCCCATAGGATGCATTGTCTCATTTACTTTTCTTAGATTAGTTAAAAGTCTCCATTTACCAGATTTCTTTTTAATTACAAACATCAGAGAATTCCAAGGAGAAGTGGTTTCTTCTATATGTCCTTTTTCTAATTGCTCTTGAATTAACAATTTTTGCAGCCTCCAGCTTTTCCTTAGTTAGGGGCCACTGATCAATCCATATAGGGTTATCTGACTTCCAATCAATTTTTTAAACTGGAGGTGAAACAACGGCCCCTCCTAAAAATACCCAATCCCATTACCGTTGTTCTTAGGAGCTATCGGCAGAGCTTCATGAATTCCTTGTTCATTTTTTCCTAAACCTTTCCCAGGGACATAACCCATTTTCTGCATAATATTGATACTTTGTTGAGAGTAATTGTCTGGAATGATAATGTGAGCTCTCCACTGGCTCATTAAATCTCTTTCCCACAAGTTCATGGGAATGTCAAGAACATAAGGGCGGATTGTGGCTCTCTGTCCATCAGGACCTTCACATGGAAAAATATAGACACTTTGTTCAACAGTTTTTATGTGTTCAGAGTTGACACCAGTGATATCACAAAAGATTTGCTGTGTGGGCCAAGACTTAGGCCAATATTTCTTGGCACTGATAGTAATATCAGCTCCAGAGTCAATTAAACCTTCAAAATTTTTGTTATTAATTTTTACAGATAACAAAGGTCTAGAATTAGCTTGAATATTAGTTACCTAATTTACTGCATAATTATTAGTGCTTCCAAAGCCTCCACGCCAAATATTATGAGACTGAGTTAAAGAAATATAAGGAAGTAACAGCATTTGTGCATTTCTGACTCCCTTTGTAAATTGCCATGGTATTTGTGTACTCATCATTACCTGAATTTCTCCTCCATAATCACAGTCAATTACTCCAGGAATGACCGAAATTCCTTTTGAACTAAGACTAGAGCAGCCAAGTATAAGGCCAAAAGTTTGAGCTGGCAAAGGGCCAAATAAACCAGTAGGAACATGCTGAGGCACAGTGCCAGGAAACAATGGTAAAGTCCTCCAAGGCTGGAATGTCGAGGGCAGCACTGCCTGCAGTGGCGGGGCAAAGTGATAATATGGAGGGTTTGTCTGCACTTGGCTGTTGAAATTCCAAAAAGTGCCCCGATTTTGACTGTTGTTGGGGGTTCGGAAAACCCCCTTCTTCGAGTTTCCCTGAAAAGGGTTCCCATCTATATCAAATTTAGATCGACATTCCCAAGCTCAATGGACACCTTTTCTACATTTAGGACAAACCCCCAGAGGTTTTCTTTACCTCTATTGTCTTTTTTTGTTTATTATTATTATTATCTTTCTAGGGACAATTTTTCTTAACATAGCCAGTTTGTCCATAACTAAAACATCCTTCTTTATTTTTAGTCAAACCCGCCAAGGCAGAAGCCAAAAGTTGAGCCCTATGACTCTGAGATCCAATGTTTCTACATGCTTTTTAAAAATCCCATATAGTGCCAGTTTCTTTAATTGGTAAAATTGCTTTTTGGCAATCCTCATTAGCATTTTCAAAAGCGAGCAACTTCTCAATTTGTTGTCTAGCCTGTTCTCCAGCCACTCCTCATGAAATGGCAGTGTCCAATTGAGCCAAAAAATCAGCATATGGTTCATTAGGTCCTTGCATGATTTTCAAATAACTACCCTTAGGTTCACCATCAGGCGTAATTCTATCCCAAGCCTCAAGAGCTTTTTCTTTTAACTGGTCATGTATCATTTGAGGAAAGTAATTTGGGCTGCAACAATATCAAATTGTCCGGTCCCAGCCAACATGTCATAAGTAAGCTGATTAAATGGGGCATTCTGACGTGTATTTTCATGAGCATTTTGAGCACATAATTCATTATACCACATGTGCCATTGTATGTACTCTGCAGGTTTTAGTAAATTTCTAACCAACACTTGCCAATCACAGGGAAGAAAATTCCCCGCTGTACTTACCAGGCCATTTAGCATTTCTTTAGAATACTCAGACTGCGGTGCATACAAAACAACTGCCTTTTTCATTGTTTGCATATGAGCCATGTCTAACCCTTCATAAGGGGGGATAATCTGTCCTTGTAGGTCAACATCTCATCTAACTGGAAATGCATATCTAGATTCTTCATCAAACCCCAAAGCGGCCATACAGGCCATGACTTCAAAGAGCTTCACATTTCTACCTGACTGTTGTTATGCCACGCCACTTTACTTTCATTTTGTTTCTATCGCTTCCACGACCTAATTTAGATGCTATTGCTGCAAAATCTTTTGAAGTCACTGACTCGTTATCAGACTCAGTGGGTGAACTCACCCGAGAATGCAAAGACTGAGGCACATCTGGCTGTTTTATGGGAGGAGGAGGAGGCGCGGGCACCGCTTCATAAACGGGCCCGATCGGTTCATTTGTTCTGGGGAAAAAAAATTTTTACTTTCACTTTTAACCTTTTCTAACTCATCATCCAATTCATATTCATGCAATGATATTGATGCACTTTTGACAATGTCTTGTCGACTAACTTGTCCTGCTCCAAACGGAGTTAAAACTGCCCTGATCAATGCCCAAATTGGCCAAAAGTCCACGGGCATATTTTCACCCTCTTGGACGGCTTTGATAATATTATCCTTGACCTGGACCCATGTTTCATCCTCAAAAGTTCCCTCATCCGGGAACCAAGGATTGTATTCTGTAACTATTTTAAGGCAAGCATCACTACAAGCCCGAGATACATGCGCTCCCTGTGCCTTTAAAAGATGATAAATTAAAGTAGAGAAAGCGGCGCCCCGCGCCTGCGTTTGTCCCATAACCCCGTACTTACCGACCTCAGTAGGTCCAGATGTCCACATAGCCACCGGGATTCCTTTCAAGTGCCTGTTCAGGCGCCAGTTGTGGGGGTCTCCTCGAAGAGAGACGCGGACTTGAAGACTGTGCAATGAGAAGAAAGAAAAGAGGGACACGGGGGACCCAGAGCCATAGGAGACTAAGGGCATATATTCTTTGAAGTGAGTACATTTTATACTGTTCTCAACAGGCAGATAAGCAAGCAAGCAGACGCAGCTGCAAGGCTAAAATGGTTGCTGGGGTGTTTAAAAAACACTGTGGCCTTGCTAATGATTTATAGATAGGCTCTCCCCTACTTTCTCAGGCAGCAGAGAGTGTCTCACGGGCCTGTGTGCTCTCCGCCCCAATTCTCAGCAAGCTGATCCGATCCTGGCATGCCAAGGACCTGGGAGTCAGTCATGTGATCATCAGGAGAACAGCACGTCCTGAGACAACCTCTCACAGAAGACCTAATGCTGCTACTCCTCAAATTCTTTAATGAAATTGAAACTGAAGCAATACTTTCAAATTCATTCTTGGAAGAAATTACAGAAAGGAGAATTACAGGTCAATCTCCCTAATGAACATAGATATAAAAATCTCCAAGGTACTGGCAAACAATGCAGCAAATCATCAGGAAGGTTATACACTATACACCATGACCAAGTGGGATGCCAGGGATGCAGGGATGGTTCGCCATACACAAATCAATAAATGTAATGCACTATATTAACAGAACTAAGGACAAGAACTATATGATCCTCTCAACAGGTGCAGGAAAACCATTTGACGAGGTCCAACACCCATTCATGATAAAAACCCTATAGAAAATTGGTATAGATGACTTTAATCCCAATCTCAATCTCATAAAAGCCACCTACGACAAACCAACATCCTATTAAATGGACAAAAACTGAAATCTTTCACACTAAAATCAGGAACAAGACAAGGATGCCCACTATCACCACTCTTGTTCAATATAGCTCTAGAAACATTAGCCAGAGCAATTAGGAAAGGGGAAAAATAAAAGGAATAAGGATACGGAAGGAAGAAGTTAAACTATCATTATCTGCATATGAAATGATACTCTACATAGAAGACCCCAAAAACTCCACCAAAAGTTTTAGATTTGATAACCAAATTTAGTGGCATAACTGGATACAAAGTCAACACTCAAAAGTCAACAGCCTTCCTGTTTACAAATAACAGACCCATGGAGAGAAATTAGAGAATCCCTCTCACAAAAGCATCCAAAAAAAATACCTAGGAATAAATCTAACCAAGAAAGTAAAAGAAAACACCCTTTTTACCAAGATGGCACCAAAGGTGAAAAAGGAAGCTCCTGCCCCTCCCAAAGCTGAAGCAAAAGCTTTGAAAGCCAAAAAGCTGTGCTGAAAGGCATCCACAGCCACAAAAAGAAGAAAATCCACACATCACCAACCTTCTACCATCCCAAGACACTGCAACTCTGGCGGCAGCCCAAGAACCGTCGGAAGAGTGCTCCCAGGAGAAACAAGCTTGACCACTATGCCATCACCAAGTTCCCCCTGACCACAGAGTCAGCATGAAGATAAAGGACAACAACACAGTGTGACGGACCAGCCGCCACCAGTCGAAAGGTTCCTGAATGGGGGAAAGGAGGACTGAGAAAATAAGACAAAGAGACAGAGTCGGGAGGGCTCCCAAGACCGAGCGCCCCAAGTTTATTTTCACCTTTCTTTTACACACTCTGTGAGTTAGGTCATTAATCATGACCTTTATCAAAACACCTGCTTCCTTGTTTACTAGTTCTTTGGGAATTCCCCGCCCTCAAGGGCTACTTTGTTTCTTGAGGTTATAGAACATTCATCTTGTTTTTAAGGCAACCGCTGAAGGTAAGCATTGGAGTTGGCAAGGACACGGTTCCCCAAAACATAATCCCCTATTTACAACGGAGGGTAAACTTAAAATGGAGTTTTTTTGGCTGCCACCGCTCCCCACACACAGTCGTGTTCACTATGGCTGTCAAGGCCAATAAGCACCAGATTAAACAAGCTGTGAAGAAGCTCTATGACACTGACATGGCCAAGGTCAAATACCCTAAGCTGGCCTAAGGGAGAGAAGAAGGTGTATGTTCAACTGACTCCTGATTATGATGCTTTGGATGTTGGCAACAAAATTGGGATCATCTAAACTGAGTCCAGCTGGCTAATTCTAAATACACATTATTTTCACTATATATATATGAAAAAGAAAACTTACAGTACTCTGAAAAAGGAGATTGAAGAGGATATCAGAAAATGGAAAGATATCCCTTGTTCCTGGACAGGAAGAACCAATATAGTGAAAATGGCCATACTTCCAAAATTGTTATACAGATTCAAAGCAATCCCAATCAAAATCCCAACAGTATTTTCTACAGAATTAGAAAAAACAATCCTAAAATTCATTTGGAACTAGAAGAGACCTAGAAGAGCAAAGGCAATTCTGGCCAACAAAGGCAAAGCAGGGGGTATCACAATCCCTGACTCTAAACTATACTACAAAGCCACAGTAATAAAAATAACATGGTACTGGCAAAAGAACAGACCTGAGGATCAAGGAACAGACTAGAGGATGCAGAAACAACTCCAGACATACTCAACCACTTTATCTTTGACAAAGGAGCCAAACACCTTCCCTAGAAGAAAGATACCCTCATTAATACATGGTGCTGGAAAAACTGGCTTTCTGTATACCCAAAATTAAAACTAGACCCATATCTCTCACCATGCACTAAATGAAAATCAAAACAGATCAAAGATCTAAATATTAAAAGAGAAACACTCAATCTGCCAGAAAAGAGAATAGGTAAAATTCTTGAGGACATAGGGGTAGGTAAAGACTTCATGACAACAAAACCTAGACCACACAAGAAATACTACATACAAAGAATCAACATCTGGGACCTCATCTTATTAAAAAGCTTTTGCACAGCAAGAAAAACCGCCAACAGCGGGAAGAGACAACCTACAGAGTGGGAAAAAAATTTTACCAGCTATTCAGATAAAGGACTATTATCTAGAATATACAAAGAATTAAAAAAAGCAAAAACAAACCCCCAAATTTAAAAACCCAATGCAAAACTGGGCATGTGAAAAATAGACACATCTCAGATGAACAATTAGAAACAGCAAATAAATATATGAAAAAATACTCAACTTCACTGGTCATTTGAGGGATGCAAATTAAAGCAACTCTGAGATTCCATCTCCAAAAAGAATAGCTGCTATTAAGAAATCAACCAATAAGAAAAGCTAGAGGGGCTCTGGGGAAAAAGGAACCCTTCCCTACTGCTGGTGGGAGTGTGGACTGGTGCACCACTGTGGAAATTGGTGTGTAGATTTCTCAAAGAACTAAAACTAATTAAGAGAGACAAAGAAGGTCACTACATCCTTGTAAAGGGCACATTCCAAGAGGAAGAGATGACAATCATAAGTATATATGCACCAAATACTAGTGCACCCAACTATATAAAACAAATATTAATGGCCATGAAAAACCAAATAAGCACTAATATAATTGTAGTGGGGGACCTCAATACCCCGCTGTCACAAATAGATCATCTAGACAGAAAATAAACAACAAAACACTAGAGCTGAACCAAACTTTTGAACAAATGGACTTAATAGATGTCTACAGAGTATTCCACCCCACAAAATCAGAATACACATTCTTTTCAGCTGCACACAGGTCATTCTCCAAAATAGACCACATGATAGTTCATAGAACATGTTTAAGTAAATGCAAAGGAACTGAAGTTATCCCTGTATATTATCAGACCATCGTGCAATTAAACTGGATATCAATAGCATAAGAAACCGCAAGAACTTCACAAACACATGGAAATTGAATAACACTCTCCTGAACAACCAATGAGCCACAGAGGAAATTAAAGAAGAAATTACACAGTTTCTACAATTAAATGATAATATCAATACAACATACAGGAATATATGGGACACAATGAAAGCAGTTGTACAAGGGAAACTCATAGCAGTGAATGCCCATACCAGGAAAATAGAATGAGCTCAAATAAACAACCTAAGGCAGAACCTCAAGCTCCTAGAAAAAGAGCAACACAAGCCCAAAGCTCATACAAGTGCGGAAATAACAATCAGAGCAGAAATCAATGCAATGGGAACTAAGAAAACAATACAAAAAAACAACAAATTGAAAAGATGGTTCTTCAAAAGAATAAATAAAATCGATAAACCCTTAGCCAATCTTAACAAGAAAAAGAAAAGGCTCAAATCCAGGCAATTAGGAATGGAACAGGTAAGATCACAACAGATCCAGCAGAAATCCAGAGGATCATCAATACCTACTTGGAGAACCTGTACTTCAATAAAATAGAAAACACAGAAGAAATGGACAGATTCCTAGATACATATAAATTACCAGAGTTGAACGAAGAATATATAAAATTCTAAACACCCCCATTGCAATCAGTGAAATTGAAAACATAATTAAAAATTTACCAACAAAGAAAAGCCCAGGTCCTGATGGCTTCGCTGCTGAATTCTACAAGAAATTTAGGGAAGAGCTAATACCACTACTTCTCAAACTCTTTAATGAAATTGAAAGGGAAGCAATACTCTGAAATTCATTCCTGGAAGCAAACATTACTTTGATTCCAAAAGCAGAGAAAGACCCAACCAAAAAAGAGAACCACAGGCCAATCTCCCTAATGAACATAGACATAAAAATCCTCAATAAGATACTGGCAAACAGAATACAGAGAATCAAGAAGATCATACACCCTGTCCAGGTGGGATTCATCCCAGGGATGCAAAGATGGTTCAACATATGTAAATCAATAAATGCAATACACTTTATTAACAGAGCCAAGGGCAAAAATCATATATATGATCATCTCAATAGATGCAGAAAAAGCGTTCGACAAAATCCACCACCCATTCATGATAAAAACCCTACAGAAAATTAGAATAGAAGGTCTTTATCTCAACCTGATTAAGGCTATCTATGAAAAACCAACAGCCAACATCATACTAAATGGTCAAAAACTAAAATCTTTCAGGCTAAAACCAGGAACAAGACAAGGATGGCCATTATCACCACTCCTGTTCAATATAGTTCTGGAAACATTAGCCTCAGCAATTAGACAGGAGAAAGAAATAAAAGGAATAAAGATAGGAAAAGAAGAAGTTAAACTGTCATTATTTGCTAATGACATGATACTCTATTATAGAAGACCCAAAAACTCTGCTAAAAACCTTCTAGACTTAATTGACAGATTCAGCAGAGCAACTGGATACAAGATCAACACTCAAAACTCAGTCACCTTCTTGTACACAAATAACAGACTCACTGAATGAGAAACTGGGGAAATAATTCTTTTCACAATAGCATCCAAAAACTGAAATATCTAGGAATCAATCTAAAGAAGGAAGTAAAAGGCCTCTACCTTGAAAAGTACAGCACTCTGAAAATAGAGATTGAAGAGCATATCAGAAAATGGAAAGACATCTGTTGTTCCTGGGTAGGAAGAACCAATGTAGTAAAAGTGGCCATACTTCCAAAACTGCTATATAGATTCGATGCAATCCGATTGAAATCCCAACAGTATATTTCACAGAGCTAGAGAAAACAATCCAAAAACTCATTTGGAACCAGAAGAGACCTAGAATAGCAAAAGCAATTCTAGGCAACAAAGACAGGACAGGCGGCATCACAATGCCCAACATAAAACTATACTACAAGGCCACTGTGATAAAACCAGCATGGTACTGGAAAAGAAACAGACCCGAGGATCAATGGAATAGATTAGAAGATCCAGAAACAACTCCAGACATACTCAGCCACCTCATCTTTGACAAAGGAGCCAACCACCCTCAGTGGAAGAAAGATGATAGCCTCTTTAATAAATGTTGCTGGAAAAACTGGATTTCAACTTGCCAAAGATTAAAACTAGATTCATATCTTTCACCACACACTAAACTAAAATTGAAGTGGATCAAGGTCTAAATACTGGGGATCAAACTCCAGACCTTGTGCTTCTGAGGCAGGCAGCAGAACCACTGAGCTAAATCCCCAGCCCTTCAATCTATCTTGAAACAAAAATATTCAGGAAAAAGTGCACCTGTAACAACACATACAGAATTTTTGGTATTATTCCACAAACAATACTACTTACATTGTGTTACAGGTAATGTGGATTAAAGTAAATAGGCACCGGGTATAGTGGTGCATGCCTGCAATCCCAGCACTCAGGAGGCTGAGGCAGGAGGATCACCTCAAGTTCAAGGCCATCCTGACCTAGTGAAACCCTGTGTCAAAAAACCAAAAATTTGGGCCAGAGATTTACTTCAGTGGTGCCGACGCCTGCCTTGCAAGCATAAGGCCCTGAGTTTGATCCTTGGTACAAAAAAAAAAATTGCCCTAGTACCTGTCATTTGGTACTGGATAGAAGTGGGGAGGGGAGGGAAGGGGAGGAAAGGAGGAGAGGACAGTCCATGACTCACCACCCTTTCCAGCCAAAATAATTCCCTTAGTACTTGCAAATCTCCCAGAACCAATTAACAGAAAGCACAAACCTATCATTATAGCTCCATTCCTTTTTTTCTTTTCTTTTCTATTCCTGTTTGATGACTAGTCAAAGAACAATGGCAATACACAGGCAGGGCCAGTCAGACACTAGAAGGAAAATATCTCTCCCCTCTTTTTTGAGGGAGGGAGTTGTTTGTTTTTTGAGATAGGGTCTTGTTATGTAGTTCAGGCTTGCCTTGAACCCATTATGTAGCTCAGGCTAGCCTCAAATTCACAGTGATCCTCCTGCCTCAGCTTTCCTAGTGTGGGACTACAGGAATGTGCCACCATACCCAGCTTCTCCCTCCTCTTCAGTCCATAAAAACTGGGCCTGGTAGAGGTTACCTTTAGAAAAAGTTAACCTGAGAATGAAAATCTATGAATGATGCTACACTTGATCTTAGCCAAAAGGCCAAGAAGCAATAACCTGCGAATGAAATCAGCACCAAGGAAGATAGAACTGTAAGTACGGATCCACACAAGCATGCATAAAATTTCCCCTCACCCTTAGACTTTAGTTCCAAAATCTTCACAAGCCTGTTTCTACAACTGAAAGGATTCTAGCAATGGAGTATAACACAACCATCAAGAAAATGAGGTGGATCTATATGTACATACATAGATTTTCACAATATGTTAAGGGAAATAACAATTTTCAGAGCATTATTATACCATTTTTTTGTTGCTTTAAAATAATTTTTTATTAATAACGAGAATTGGGGGAAAAAATCTTTAACACCATTAAGACTTTCAATTTTTTTTAAGATTTTTAAATTTTTTATAGGGTGAAAATGATCAAAGTATGTCATGTGCATGTGGAATTATGCCTAAGTGTTTATCAGTGTTTATTATATAACTTTCTTTAATCTACCTCTGAAGAGTCAAATAAAAAAGTAGATATTTCACCACCCTTCTATTCCAGAAAAATGGAGTACATATGATATGCTCTAAAAATATGGTAAAATAGGGCCAGGGATTTAGCTCAGTGGTTTTGCCACCTGCCTTGCAAGTGCAAGGGCCAGAGTTTGATCCCCGGTACCAAAAAAAAAAGGTAAATATTTAAATTTTAAAATTTCATTATAGTGAAAGACACATTGCCATTAATCTCCCTCAAAATACGCACCCTTGATTCAAACACACTTGAGGGCCTAGTTGCATTGCCATTGATGCCTCTATGTTCTGAATCAGTTCAAAGCATTTTGGTCATTTTGACTTAGGCGAAGAGTAAAAAGCTGCACAGTGCCAGATCCAGTAAAATGAGGACATAGTGTAATGTTTTTATGAGTCTGCCTTTACACTGAATGGCATTTAGAAGCAACATTCACTATATTTACCACACCTCCTAAAGACACAAAAGACTTCCAGAACTGCTTCAGAAAGTGGCAAGAATGATGGGATAAGATATTTTGAAGGTAATTAATGGCAATGTCTTTTACTGTAATAAATTTTTTGAATTTAAATATTCACAAATGTTTTTATCTCACCTCAGATACTTGAGATTGAATGATATCTCAGCAGTTTTTGAAAATACATTCACATTTATATCTAAGGTGCAATAATAGAACAAGAGACTGAAGAGAAATACTTCTAAAGAAGCTCAAAATAATGAAAGCACTCAAATCAAGGTACAAATTTTGTTATCAGCATAATTTCAAGGTCACACTATGGGTAGACCAAAAGATAGAACACTTGGCAACTCAACATATAGGACTGGCCTTTTACTACATCAGTATTTTCATCTCAAATGTCAAACTCTTACCTCTAACAGGGCTTCTCTCCACTCCTACACTAAGGCATCTGAGCTGCTTAACTATTCATTGAGGCAAAACATGCTTTAACTCAAAGAAGAACACATCAGGACTAGTTATTAATTGATCACATGAATATTGATATAAATTTAGATTTAAACCAAAAGAGAAATAAAATGAAATCTGAAAAATTAACATTCTAAAAAGGAATATGAAAGGTATTAACTTTATTTACCTAGCCAAATAATCTCTTGACACTCAAGCAAGTTATGAAATAATATACAAAATATAAATTTCAAGATATAAGTGGAAATTCAATTGGAAAAACAATTTGATTTTTTAAAAGTTGAACAAATGGTTTTCAAATCAATATTTGGCTGAAGCTGATGCAGAATTTATCAGCATTACTTTTAAAACCTTTTTGCAATGGTTTAAAAAAAGTAAACATGAAATAACTTTCAATGGTCAAACAAATCTAACAACATCTAAAAATTAAGTTATGATCTATTCAAATTTAAGAAACAAACAATACTCAAGGGGGAAAAAGGTAACATTTTTTCTGAAACACTAAAAAAGATACCAAACCATTATGTCAGATACACATATATATATGTATATA